TTTTCAGGAGTGTTTCATTAAATTATTTGCAAATATTTGAAACAGTAGATAACATAAAGGAACACAAACAATTTAAAACTCAAATTATTACATAACAGAATATAAGATCCTTTTTATTTTTATATATTCGAAGTTTAACAAGATTTTTTTCAGATGAAACATTTAATTTTTTATTACGCGCTGCATTTACATTTTCATTCCATGGTTTCTTCCTCTATCCATTTCTCTGTCGTCACCTGAAAATAAAAAATTACAGAAAGCTTAGACGCTGATAATAAAAAGACCGAACGCTGAATAAAATTAATTTATATTAGCAAATTGAAACAATTTTGATATTTTGAGGTATTATATTGAATATTAATGAATTTTTTTCTTGAGCCACATCCTTGAGTCTCACTGTCAGTACGTAAGGAAAATATTTTTCCCTCTCATTACTTACAATTGAATGCATAAAAACTATTCTAAATGCATAGTAAATATTATTTTCATAAAACATATATCTCAAATATGTGAGTACTGAATTTTAAAACACTTTTACTTTAAGCTATCACTTCATCTCTGAAACAGAAGATTGCTGGTCAACCTTTCGTCATGTCTTTCGCAACTAAAGTAAAAGTTAAATAAAGCTGTTTATTAACACGCTAATTTACACTTCGCACGTATAAACTGAATCAAATGCACAGTACAATATTAACACGCCTAATTTAAATATTGACAAACACACTACTAAACGTTCGCTAAGCAATCATGGCTAATAGGAACTGGCCCAGGAAAGTTATATTGCATATTGCAGCAGCAGGGAAACTAAAAACATTAGTGACGATCTACCTGTGTATCCAAGCGCCCTCTGAAATTATTTAACTCTCTATATTGATATTTGATGCTTATTGCATGCTGTTGGATCTAATGAAAATAGAAATTATAATAAAGTCAAAACAATAATTGGGTTAAATAAAACCTTAAAAATAATAGCAAACTCTAAATTATGCAATTCAGTTGCAGTAGGTCTTCGAAATATGTTTCGGAACTTCATTTATTTATTTAGTGGATATTTAAGAAAACGTTCGAGATTGAAAAAAAAGTTTGTATGTATATAAACATGTATATACTATGAAAAGCGTGATTTCATTTCGTGTTTAGCAACAGTATTATTTGGTCGGTAAAATAACTAATTCACCATTTACTTAATTATTTAAGATTATATATGACGTTAAAGTTAAAATTAAATTTCACTTTATTATTAGCTGTGATTCCAAATCTACAAAATATAACTAATAACTCTAAATTTGGAAAATATATCTTAATGCTCAGTATTTCATAAAAGTTGAAATGTAAAAAAACTGATATGCATTAATTTTGTATTCTACGTATGCCTCAAATATGTTGGTAAATGATTAGATACTAATATCGATAAGTATAATATTTCCATTAATTTTATATTCAATATAACATATAATAAGTATATACATACTTACCTACACATTTATACATATATATTCATACTTAAACTTTTATGCATAAAATTACAGCATAAATTGTAAGATGTATCTTAATTTTTGAATAACAGTTATTTTTATTTCAGTGCTTTCCTAGCTATTCTTGTTTCCACTTACAACTCTCTACCAGAATTAGTTTTTAGAATCGCGTTAAATGTAAATGAGTTAGAAGTAGTATTTAAGGAAGGTTCAATTTACTTCTTGAGAGAGAGCTAGGAATCCTGAATAGCGCATGTTTGCCCTCGGGCTAAATCACTCTAGAAGCTGTTACTCTCGGCCTTATTATTACGTGCCTTTTGATATTAGCTGGCTAGTTTAAAATGAGGGCCAACTACGTTAGATACTTGTGTTAGCTTCGGCTAAGTCTCTTAGTTATTTATAGTTAGTTCTTATTTCTTATTCTAAGTTTAAGCCGAAGCAGATGTTTCGCTGTAATCCCGAGAAAGGGGCCAACTGTTCATCATTTTTTTGAGTGAAATAAAGGATACTTTAACCTTTCTTGAATCTACAATTTAGTTGTTTGAACTCAACGATATGTCGCGCACCAGTTCACTAGGTTCCTCAACATTTACTTTAGACAAAAAGAGTGAGGAACCCTAGAAAATAACTGAAATAAGTACGAGGTTAATAGATATAGCATATACATAGAGAAACCGTACATTTAATGCATTAAATTTAATTTAAATAAAAATGTTTAAAGGTTTTAATTTCTCTTAATAGCGTTGAAACTTAAATCTCTAATTAAATTTCTAAGCTAAAGAATTTAATTCTATATTAATATCCTAGAAATGAAAGGACTTACCATGTATTAGTTCTTTGAATTCTTTTGGTTTCTACCAATATCCACCATATCCAAGACTATCACCATATCCAGCTCCGTAGCCGCCGTATCCTCCTAGACCATAACCTCCATAACCGCCGTATCCTCCTAGACCATAACCTCCATAACTGCCGTATCCTTGACCATAGCCTCCGTATCCCAGCCCATAGCCACCATATCCATGCCCCTGGGCTTTCACAAAGTATCTAGTACTTATTCCATGTCCATGTCCATGTTTGCTGTAATGTGGAATTACATCAACGTAGGAGCTGTAGGCAACTGCTGCCAACATGAAGATAACGAGAACCTAATGCATAGGAACATAAGTCATTATAAATTCTTAATTATAGAAATAAATTATACAGTAGGTGATAATAAATAAGTATTAACACTTGCGTTCATAATATAGATAAAAGCAGTAGATGAAATTCCTTCCAAATTTGTATCTTACTAACAGCCGATGAATACTACTAAAGCTGTTAACTCCTACACTCGTGGCATGTTTGTTCTTATAGATTTACAGAAACTCTGTTTTTCTATTCATTACAGAAAATCTTATTGTACTTTTGTAACGAAATTAAATGTATTTCTGGAACGAATTGAATAGGAGTATTTAATTTCTATTTTATAGTACTTCACTCACAGTTCTAAAAATATTTTTGTTTTTCTATTCGTTGCATAAGATTCAAGAACTTTTAATATACCTAATCTATAGTCACTATAACTAAATTAACTTTATCTTGTCACCTCTGCTACTGCACTATTTTCATTCTAAGATGGAGAAACACTGTAAGGTCTTAAAATCTCTGCAGGAATTAAACTCTTTCTTTGTTAATTATACATAGTTTACTCAAACGGGCATATTTTATTTTACTCAAGAAAGGTATGCAAGCATTTTTAGGAGAATTTCGAAATATTTTGCTTTGTTACAACAAAATCAAAAGTTCTCTATTCTCAGATTTTATTATTAGATTTAGAGTTTAGAACTATTTCATTTTATTACAGCAAAATTTTAAATTGTTCAGTTCTCAGATATTGTTATTGTGTTTGCTTGTTTTATATTAATTTTTCGTGTGAAATATTAGCATACTTATATTAGAAATTTTTCATTATAAAAAAGTGAACTATATACTTTAAATAAGAATTATAGGAAACATTTTGCTTTTGAAAATTATGTCCTGAAGATGATGGAACAATAATTCAGATATATTTATGCATAATTTTTCGGTCAAGAGCATTTTAATCAGATTTTCAAACTGCAGATTTCAATAAATATGCATGAATGGTCATAAACAATGTTGTAACCAAGATTAAATTAAACATTAATGCCACTCCTTGAAAGAAATTAATCTCTGATAAAATGCAAACACAGCTGTTATTCTAATTAACCACCAAAATAAAAATTAATTCAAAACTTCACATAATAAAAGAAACAACTTCATCACTAGTATGAATTCAGAAGACTGAATTCATACTAGTACTTTCTTAAAACTAGCTAAAGGATTAAATATCAGTTCAACAATACAAAGCTTTAATTTTTAACATAAACGAGGTATAAACATCAAGAGAACTTAGATATTTGAGATATTTGCCCAACATTTGCAAGCGTTTTGCCTGATTATCGAATCGAAATCTTCTCTCTCTGTAATTTTAAAAACCATTTCAATTTCTACAAATTTTTGAGCAAATAGAGGATCAAAGAGATCAATAATACAGAATAGATTGAACATTAAAATGCAAATATAAATAAAATTAAAATTAAAATTATTTAAGCATATTTAACTTGACGAAAGCATGGTAAATAGTTCTGCTTCTTTAAGAATAGCCAAAAAATTAGAAAGTGATATTTTTCGCATGCAGTTTGTGGTGAAGAGAATGGCTAATCAGTATTTAAATAAGATATGTCTTACCACGGACTTCATCATATTAAACTTTTCGGAAATCTTTACAGCTTTAGATTTCAGTGGTAATAAGCTTCTTCTCGAAGAGAGCGTTTATATACAATGGTGAAGTTCCGCTTCATGAAGCATGTACGCACATTTTAATGAAAAAAAGAGCACGGCACAAGATTTGATTTTATTAATTCTTTCATTCCACTTCAGTGTCAAATGTTGCAATACTCATTCTTTCTATATTAATTTTGCACCCATTGATGTTTTTTTTCCTTTTTACTATATTGCTGTAACTGTGCCGCTGTTATTCTTAATCTCCCATTTTTTTATTGGAAACTTCAAATACCCGGATTAACTGGGACCACAACCCATTCAAATATTCAAAAAATCAAAAAAATTGGGTTGCTTTTCTTTCTGTCTTTAACAAATACCTGTTTATTTTAATGTAATTGAATCGGTTTTTTTTAATTTATCATATTTCATTTTAACCAATATTACAGACGTAAAAAGGAACTTTATTTTTCCGTAAAATAAAATATAAAAATTTATTTTTTGGAAAAAAATTGAATATTTAAATACCTTTTCATTTATATACACGCGAAACCTATTTTTCTTTAATTTGAAATAAAATAATGAAACATAATTTGCGCTAAGCAAAAAAAAAAAAAAAAAAAAAGGGGGGGGGGGGATATGAAATGAATCACTTGTGCTTTTTTAATTTTCATTTTGTTTTCCAAAATAAAGTTAAATAAAGATTTTTTTAAGATTACTGTATTGAGTTAATCAATTTTTTAAAGAAGGAGCATTTTTTACAGCTAAACAATAACTCATAAAATAAATAAAACGCAGGGATATGTATACGGAAGAAGAAGTGCGGTGGACCACCATTGTTTAACCATTACCAAAAATAAGATACAATGGACTTGCAAACTAAAGTACTGAACTGCCTTTTCTGTATTTCTTTTTTTATTTATAGGCTATGTATTTGACAATTATTGTATACCTATCGAAATATGGTACTCATATTGTTTTTTATAAATTAAAATAATATTGACAGTAAGCCTATTTGCATTCGTAATGACAATAGGTCTCCATATATTTTGAGTCTCGATAGTTGGAATTATCCTGTGTATATATAATGTTTCGAAGTATTGGTAATGTTTTATTTCAAAATCTTTATTAGTGTTTTGTTGAATGATACTAACTCCAGGAAGACCTTCTTCAAGGTGACTGATTTGTTACTCAATAATTTTAATATAAACAAGCAACTTTAATCATGTATAAACAAATGCATTCACTCAATGTTAAGGTATTTCATATTATTTTTGTGCTAACAAGGAAAGTTGTCGAACTTTAAGACGGCAATCAGCACGAACTTTGCAAATTGAATAAGCATATGAACAAAACTGCAAACCCAACGTATGGCACTGCGCAAAAATACTTCTCTTCCCTACAGCAGAGCGTATAAAGAGGTGCATACACGTGTATTGCGGGCAAGCACAGACTGACAAAGTAATTTAACTGTAAGATTTGATGCATTCTAATCTGAGCAGAGATGGCATACTACAGCATAGCTTTGTGCATAAATCATTCGACGGAATGGTAATCTGGCGGCTGAAGGCAGTGCTGAGAACAAAGATGAGGGTTTTCACAATGAGTCACTAGATTGTCACAAATGTCACTATATTCTGTAATATTGTACTGTTGTTGTGTCCTACCTCACCTGTCCGATAGCAATATCAGAACAAGCCCAAGAAATTAATATTTCTTGGAGAGTAATATTGCGCCTGTGGTTGGCAAGAGTCTTGAGCACCATACAGGTGACAGTGTGACTTTGTTCAGTTAAGCCCCAATTTTGAAGAAGAGCACCCCGGGGGTCGAGTACATGCAATCCCAACGTACACCCCGAATCCAATTTTTATTAAAAACAATTATTTAGGACATAAGGAGATTACAATGTAGTTTCAATACAATTTGAAATTCACAAATTAAATCGAACATCTGTTTGGGTGTAACAAAAGTAATAAATTAACATAATAAGTAGCAGATAAACATAATGAGGTAAATATAATAAATACTGGGAACACAATGATATAATGAACTGTAATTATAATACTAAAGAGGTATCCAAGGTGTTATTACAGTTATAAAAGGTTATTACAGATTATAAAGTTCATAAGTTAAGTCCTTTTGAATATATTCACTGGATATAAAAGTTCATTAAACTTATGCAGTATGAGAACTTGACAAAGATCTAGGCCGTAGGAAGAGAGTCATTGTATGATTTTTCTAAACTTCGAATACTGATATTATCTTTAATTAGAAACCTTTGAAATGCTTCGTAAATGCTTTGAATGCTTTGAGTCGTAGGGATTTTATGTGATTATCCTCAGTTAAGGTACTTGAGAAAGTCTAATGATCAGGATTTCCTTGTTCCTCACGTACGCAATGTAACGCTGTTATCTGTTATTCACTTCTTTGTTAGCTTAATCACTAATCTTCATACAACAATATAAAGATTACAAGCCATATGACTAGTTGTACATTATATTTACTTTTCCATAAAAAACTGTTTGTTAATGTCTAACAAGTCTATGCTCTCCATCATGCTTAGTAGAAAAAGAAGGATCGATTTCTATTTATAAATTTGTTTTCTTATGCAGTGTCCCTAGGTGAATGATGCATGAGTTTGCCTAAAAGAAGAAGGTTTCCTTTATGGAAGACTTTATAAAAAAAACAGACTCATATTTATGTTACAAATGAGAAAGAACCCCCGAAAATTCCCACGTAGCCAGCCAGTTTACCAAGAATCTTTGTTGTTATCTTTTCCATATTACGTGGAACAATGGTTACCAGAACCTACTCCAAAGAGAGGTTGGACTTCTATTTTCCACCCCAATTTTGAGGGAGAACACCCCGGGGATGATCCTAATGACTTCAACCCCTCTCTCATTCCACCAATCCACACGAGAGGACTTTCGGCTCGACTCATATTTAGAGTGCCGCCATGCCGCACCGACACTATGCATTTACAAACATCCATATCTTCTTCGGGATTAGAACCCGTACCCTTCGGTAGGTTTCTCTAACCACTATACCGTCTGGGCAACACCAATAATTTTTATTAATGTGACCATTATTATTATTTTTTGGCCAAATTAAATGTTAAAATTATTTTCAATTTGTTTAAACGTAAAATTTATTTTTCGTTAATTAGAAATAAAGTAATGAAATTTATTTGTACTTACGAAAAAGAGGTTAGGAAATTAATTACAATATTTTTCTTATTGTCACTTTTTACGAATTACTCGTACGGTGCCTGCCTTGCTTGACTTGGCCTTAGTATAAATATCAAGCAAGGCAGGGACCGTTCGAATACTGTAAAGTTTGGCACAAGCTGTCTGATTGCTATATGTTTTTAAATTCATTCACTTGTTTCCTTGGATATTCTCCTTGTTTTCCTTGCGTCCATCTCTACCCCCGATGCGCCTGCATCGGAGGTAGAGATGGACGATTCACTCTGGAACCGATTCAATTTACTGAGCGAAAGATCAGCGCTCCGGCAAAGACGGAATGGCAGTTCACCGAGAGCTGTTGTTGGGAAGCATGCCAAAAATTTTATTAATCTATTAATGTAAACACTAGCATTCGTTACTTTATTACTTAGCGGAAATGTCTCTGACCTATTTTGTATGTATGTATATATGCGTGCTTTTGGTTTGCTTGTGTTCCATCTAGTATTTAAAAAGAAAAATATGAAATAAACCGATGCATCTCAGCGAAACTGACCACTCCTGTTTTCAATTGGATGGAGTTTTTTCTCCATTTGGCAGTGCTAGGATCTGTTTAAAGTAAGTAAATTATAGGAACTAGTTCCTCGGATCTGCCAGCACTCCGGTGCTAGTCGCAGATCTGGGTCATTCGGAGTCGTGATTATTCGTTGTTTCATCACTCCTGCCCTAGCCGCTGATCTGAATCCTGTTGAGTCTTCATTATTCGCTCATTTCATTGCTCCTGATCTAGGCATCGCACATCTGGCTACTAGCACATCTGGAGTCTTGATTATTTACTCTTTTCGCTTCCTCGGAGCTGTTCTTTTGAGTTTCATTTCGATTCTTCGAATACTGTGTCATAGTACAGCTACGTACATTAGGTATTAATATTTATGTACTGTAATAAATTATATTTTTATTTATTTACTTATTTTACTAACGTCCTGTAATCAAGAGCTATAATTTCTCTTTAACATAAATTTTTCCATCTAATATATTTTTTGAAGGTTGCAGAACAAAATGTGGACCCTACCGAATTGGAGAAACTCGAGCGATATTTGGTATCATTTTGCCAAATTAAATAAAAAAAGGGAAATGCCGGTATTGTCAGCAGACCGTTTCTTGTTTATTGGGATATCTACCTCCAGTCTTAAAATTCATACACTGTGCTTTATAGTAGCAATAAAATATCAATTATGGTAATAAAACAATGTAATCTTTAAGAAAAAGGAGTTTAGGTTTCATTATTTTTTTAACTTTTAGCATATTTTTTTTTGTTCTAGAATTTTATTGTTGTTCTATTTAGAAAGGTTTTTTTAAGGAACTTCAAAAGAGTAGTTTAAAGAAATTAGTCTAGGAAAATAAGCGGTTTGGTTGAGTTGATTCTAGCGATCCCACTCCTTGTTAGTCGGTAAATCGTTAAAGAGAACTGATTCGCTTCAATGAGTGAGCGGTTTCGATCTGATCCCTTAAGGAGCGGTTTCGTCCATCTTTAGTCCGGTGCCCGTACTACGCGTAATGTTTTAAAATCAATCATTTCGTTTGCAACGGCTCAATAAAAATTGTTTCGTTATCTTACTTCAAAAAGAAGATAATAAAACAAGGAACAGTGGATTAATCAAAACATTCTTAGGTAGCATCAAAGAATTGTTTCAAAGTATGACAGTGTCATTTACACTACGCTTATAAATATCGGTGTCTTTGAAAGTGATCAATTCCTCCACTATCCAATTAATTGCTGGCATACAGCAAAATCATTTCTTGTCCGAAACGTATTTCAAAAGCTGGAAAATTAGTAATGTACGGGGTAAATGGCAGAAGAGTAGGGAGGATGAGATCCAATTTCCAT